GCAAGCTTGTCTGCTTGCTCCTCACTCTTCGCTCCCGGAACTTTTAAAAGCAAGGCCCCGGTGGCGGCTCTTCCCATTTTAACTCCTGAGATCCCCAGATCCTGAAGCTGTATCGACCGCTTGGCTTCGCTCATCACGTCCCTGTAATTAACCCCCTTCTTCTCCTCTTCAGGGGGGATGGAGACTAAGATGGCAGTCGTGCCCGTCTCTTTTAATTTCGCCCTCCCTTTCTTTTTATGGGTGTAAGGGGGGCTCCCGTGCCTCTGGCACTGGTGCTCGCTCCATTGGTGCAGGTGCCTGTATCGGAGGCATAGGTGCCTCTTTCACCCCAACCCTCCTCTCCTTATCCTCTCTATCCTTGTCCTCTACCTTTCTCCTCTTCCTCTTTCTTTTTCCTTTCCTGTCCCCAATCTCAACTACCTGGGCTCAGCTTGGTATCTGGGGAATAACAGGTGTCACTTCAGGGGACAGTACACCCTCCAAATCAGTCAGTCCCTGAGGCACGACATCCTCCGTCTCGCAACCAACGTCGATCCCTACAACCTCGACCGTTGACTGTACTCCGACATCGCAATGACCAACATGCTGCACATGCTGGATACCCGCATCAAAAAAGTTCTTCAGGGGCAAAAAGACCTCAGCCTGAGTGCACCCATCCCTCATCACCGGTTCATTCAGCCAATCGCTCATACCCGGAGACACAGAAGTCTCCGTTTGGCAACCACGCTCCTTCATATACAGCACAACCATTGTCATCGCCTCTTTCGTACTCGGAGACACAGAAGTCTCCGTTTGGATACGACGCTCACGCACACCCGGTCTTGCTTTCGCACCACACGCCACATCACTCATCTCTTTTGCCTCTGTACCACATCCAGTATCCCTCACCTTTTTCTTAAGAATCTCATCCACTCTTGATTTCGAGACCCCCGTCCTAAGCCTCATATTCTCACATTTGAGATTCTTATTCCTCCTCATAAGCCTCCTGATTGCCGAACTCATCTCATCAAGCGCTTTGCTCGACTTGAAGAAATATTCTTCCACCTTGTCCCACAATTTATCAGCTTTCAGGTAGTAATGCTTGACGCCTACCAGCCCTTGTCCAGCAAATTCGCAAATCTCGTCTGCCAACTTTCCACTCCCATAGTATCGATCATTAATGACCGCCTCCATTCCGTCCACCATAAAATTCACCTCTGCTAAAAGGGCCTCCTTTTTTTGCCGTAGCTGTTTCGTCAGATCAGCAAACAACTTCGCGTTAGCAGAAGGGAGTTCATCCTCATTCTCTGTATCGAACTCTTCAGAATCCTCCGATTCATCCGATTCACTCTCGTCAATATCACAATTGGATGGGCCAGGTTTCTTTGGCTCATCTACCCTCTGCTTCTTCGCTCTTTGTAAAGGCGGAAATTCCTCTTTCCTTACCACGTCCTTTGAAAGCGGTCCCTCTTTTTTCCTGTTAAAAAACCTCCCCTTAGCATCCCTATTTGGCACACACTCACTTCCGCATGAGTTAGGCCCCCTCACAACGTATTTTTGTTTTTTATTATTTAACAACTCCATTTTGTACCCACGAGAGTGGTCGCAACAACAAGTCCACCCGGGCAGAGGCTCCATACCCGGTTAAGCCTAGGGTTATGAAAATAGGGGTCGGCCTATCCCCATCTCCAGAGCCCGTGTCGCGACGGATCCACCATCCGCCACTCACCCTCTGACCCACGGCCAGTGCAGGGTTAGCGACTTATAGCGTGGTTGTCCCCACCCAGGACCACCCAATAAAGGGAAGTCCCCTCGTCCCTACTCTATGTAGGGGTACGAGTCGGCCGGTGGTTGCCTAAGCACCCGTTGGTCATGACTACCATGACCCAACGAGCCCACCGCCCTCGCTGGCACGGCCGCTTTCTTTGATACGCACGCCGCACGTACGTTCGCACGCCGCCCGTCCAACCCGAAACGCGCCGCCGCTACCCGACTTACCGTCGGGAAACTTACACCCCCTATTTTAACCCCTTGGGAGTAGAATTGTTTAAAATCCTTTCTAGGGGATGCCTACATCATAGAAGTTTAAAATTAACAAAGTTTCATTCAAACTTTCATCCCCTATTTTATCCCCTTGGGGGTAGAATTGATCAAAATTATTTCTTAGCCGATGCTTACGTCATAGTAGCTTTATGCATGCAAAGGATCATTCCAGTCGGTTTAAAATTGACAGTTTCATACAAACTTTCATCCCCTATTTTATCCCCTTGGGGGTTAAAATAGGAGATTGATCAAAATCCTTTCTTAGCGGATGCTTACGTCATAACATTTACCTGAATACCAAATTACAACCCGATGCGTCCAGTGTTTGGTCTGTGCGTTGATAGATTACTATGTCAGTCAGTCACCTTTGAGTTATATATATTTAGATAGATATGGTAACACAGATCTCTGTGAACAATTTATTTCACTTCTCCTCAGAAGTTGCGAGAGTTATGGTATAAGAGAGTAAAACTAATTAGTTCTGACGCTGATAGAATGTATAATTAAAATCAAGTCTTACTTTCGTGGGTGTATTAGTTGGTATATGCCATATAAGTTTGTTTGGTTGCATCTAATAGGATCCGTAACTAGTGGAGCGATTTTGAAAAATCTTTCAGCTACGGATACCTATATCATACGAGGTTGACATAAACTTATAGTTTACGCGTTAAAAATCGCAGGAAAACAGTTAGTATATAATAACACAAAAAAAATGTTTTTTTTTTAAAGTATCTGTACCAATATATATTCAAAAGTCGTTGTTGATGATGTCAGCTGATCCTGCTAGAATGCTGGTGTTCTTTTATATATAACCCTGTAAGTATATTGATTCATCATCATCATTAGCCTATTAACATCCTCACTTGGAACAAAACGAGGAGAAGATTGAGTAAGCTAAAGTTATTTTGAAACAATTCTTTATAAAAAAATTCTATTTTCTCTATGAAATCGTCTACCACAAGGTTTCACAGACGGGTCGAAAGCTCCCCACCCTGTGGGCAGCCCCTAGCCACGACAGCTCTAGATGTAGTTTTCACTATGATTTGTTTTGCCCCATATCTTAAAATGTTTATTATTTAGTTTGCGAGGGTCAGATGGACATTATGTTTTCTTAGAGCTCCATGTTTTCAAAGGCCGTTTTGTCAAAGGCTCTTTCAATTATCTATTATACTATTATACGGTATTTACGACGATCAGTTTTCCGTTGGTTCCTTTATGTTACAACTGAGATCAAAGCCGATTCATTTATGTTCAGAGCATGGAGGTTCGTCTAAAACTATCACTTATTATTATGATTACCAAATGATTACGCTAGGGGGAATAACCAATAAACTTTTTTACTATGTTACTGCAGAGTGGCAGAAGAAAGTGCTTTAACCGGCATTCAGTTAGAGTTAGCAGTATGTTTACCGAAAGTTTGTTCTGTGAAGAATGCTTTAGAAATTCAATTGCCTAACTCTGGTGGAAACTTGGAAGTCAAAGAGTCATTCTGTCGCCTACCAAACGACAAACCTTGGGCAGCAGCAGACACTGTAGCTGTGTAAGTAAAATGTTTTTGAAAATGTTATCTCACAATGTCTCGCTATTTATATGATAAAGACTTTTGACATTTTGACAGTTCCTGATTATCCGATGATTTATAAATAATATCCACTAAAGCGACACATTGTCACCATATTCTTATCAATGTGTTGTTATTTGATATCAAAGCCACCACCTGCTATTTTTTGATGGTGTAACTTGAACACTTATTGATTAAGAACAAAGAGTAAAAATATATATATTAGGGAATTATTATTATATATGTTTTGGACTAGTCACTATTCAGAAAAAAAAAAACCAGTAGTACTGCCAAATTTCATACTATATGGTCTTAAATATTCGAAACATTAGTTTTGTGTTTTTTGATATACGTACTAATTTCATAAAGACATTTAATTGTTTCGATAACTTAACATATTGTCGAAATTATTTTGAACTAAAAATAATCTCTATATCAAAATTATAGAATAGAATAGAATATTTATTTGCCTTTAAATAGGGTACAATTTGATACCAATTGATTAAAATAAATATAACTTAAAATCTATTTAGCCATACAGAGATAGCATGCAAATATTCAAATAAATTGAGTTTTGGAAACAGTCAAATTTCTGAAATAAATTGTCGTTTAATCCATTATTCAGACCCATTTCATGCGCATTTATCATCATTATAATAAGCAGTAATAGAGTAGTAGTGTTAAGAAAATAATATAAATTATCACATTTCAGGGTTATATTTTCTCTAATTGGCCTCATTATTATTTTGAGTACGGCCTATGACATCAGACACAACGTTCTCCTAGAAAGAGGTAAGAAGCGATCCATATTTTTGTATCACTAATAAAAAGGACAGATTTTTTGCTGCAAGTTTGAATTAAATACATAGAAAATATCTGATTAATAAAACAATATATTGTATTGAAAAACCCAACTGGGATTAAAAAAGATTATATCGGAGACATTTGATTGGAATCCGGACTTCGATATGTTTGCTGATTAATAAAAGAGATAATACAAATAGCAAAAACAAAACCTAAAGATATTACTTCCTTTTATCGATTAAATAAATTATAACATTTATTTTCGCTTTGAATAATATAAAATCTGAAAATCACTACGGTATCATCTATTTAGGCGGTGTCCTCACTGCTATAGATATAATATTAATTATAGAGAAAAATATGCCTTCCGCAGCACAAGAAAGCTCAAGTTAACAAAAATTTGGTCTCCTATCTGATAACCAACCATTGCCAAACTTAACATATTATACGTGACGCCGCCGTGTCCAAAACCATACCCAGCATGAACGTTTGTTAACTCACATGCGCAGAGTATCCTCCCTACAAATTAGTAGTGTGAGCGGTAGTGAAATATATTTAAATAATAGTTCAGCTGGTCATTATTAATTTATTCCATAGTATCATTTTAGTCCTCCTTAACCATCCATAAGGAAGGCCTGAGCACCTGCAGTGGGGACGTAAAAGGGCTGATGATGATGATCATTTTAGTCTGAAGAAAATAATCATAGAAAATAACTCTTCAACAGATCCGAAGCGGGCGAACACGTTGTACATGACCTTTTCCGTGTTCACCAATTCCCGAAAATTCTTCACATTCTACCCAAATCCTAACGCGATCACTTGTTTGGACGGGATCAGATCGATCGCTATGTTATGGGTGATCGTGGGTCATACTTTTAGCACTCAGCTGTCGTTTATTACTGCTAATCCCCTGGATATGTTTCATGTAAGTGACGCAATTAAAAGAAGAAAATTACATTGATTGTAAATGTGACCAGACGATATATTAGCTATTGATAACGATGTTTAATCGTATTTTCCAATTATTTATCAATACTTAAACTGCCTAATTCAAACATTGACATCATTAACTGAAACTACTGAAAAATATTTTTAATTTTAGAGTGCCAGGGACAAAGCGGATTTTCTAAGCATTTTTTATTAAGAATATTTTTCTGTGAATGTAAAATTGATTAAATGTAATAATTAGAATAGATTTTCATATTTATGAAAGTTTAAATATTTGTAAAAATATTATTTTCATCTGTCTGGGTGGATTGCCTGTTCTCTGATGAGAATGCACTCGGTAGTAGCGAATTTGTCAGTCTTGTTAATTCCTCGGTTAGAGCAGTCGCCCGTATTGTCCAAGGTCATGGGTTCGTGTCCCGGCTCAGAGAAGACAAAGTGAATTTTTCAAGCATTTTTCTATGTCATCATATTTGCCAAAGATAAAATTATTTTTCAAATATATGGAATGTTGTTAATAATAATAATTCTCGTCAACTCTATAATAGTCTATTTGGCGACCTGAGCCTTGGTTGTTTGTTGTTCTCCTCTGCCAAGGTATGTCCTCCCTTTCCTCACATCCTCGAGGAACCTTAAAGGAAATTCAATTTAATCATAAATACATATCTGATTCTGGCTCCAAAATAAGATGACATTATAAATAATAAATCTTATATTTATTTTAGTTCATAACCTCGTTTACTTCTCTCTGGATCACAAGCGCTACCATCACCGTCGACACATTCTTCATGATCAGTGGTCTCCTTTTGGTTTACACAACAGCATCCAAGCTATCCAGAAGTAAGTAATAACAGAAACATAGCATCCAGTAATTAACTTGAAGATCGTTAAGCCGTATCTAATAACTTTAATATCAAAATAACAATGGCAGGCTCTCAGCTTCGAGTTTTTAGGTAGTTACTCGCATGCTCGCAGTCTGCCGATGCCGGGTCAAATCCATGAGGTATATGATGAAATCACATTTGATTTGAAAAAAAAATTGATGTAATATTCTGTTTATGTGTATTACTTTACCATTCACATTTATAACATTATATAAATAATTAATGTTACAATCCTTGATACGGTTGGATTTTTTTAAGTATTTATCTATAGATCAAGTTAACTGTTTTGCACAATTACTTCAGTTGATTGTTTTATGTTGCATATTTGAATGATAATGATGTTTCTATTGTTTCAGTGGGTCTTATCAAAAATCTTCACTTGTTCTATTTGAATCGACTCATGCGAATGTTCCCTGTGTTGGCTACAGCAGTGCTCATGCAAGCATCCTTCCAGAATAGGGTAACGGATGGTCCACACTGGTATATAAATGCACAGAATACGAATAACTGCAGGCAGTACTGGTGGACGACATTATTATATGTACAGAACTTGGTGAACCCTTTAACAATGGTAAGCATGAAAAGCTATCCTCGCTATCGGCAGAATATATTGGCTTTTATGTTGAGTTTTGTTATTGAAAATACTAAACAAATTAAGATACTTTCGTAGATTTACTATATATACTAATAGTTTGTTCACCTATTAGAAGTCACATCAAATAGCTAGTATTTATTAAATAGATGGATCCTCCATTCAAAGTTTTAACGCACATATTTATTGAAGATTGTCAATGTGACTTATGATGATGCAGTCTCTTCAAAGGTGCCAAATGGACTACAGGTATATCGAAGCATTAAAGTGTTTATATAAGAATGCTACTATATCAGTCCGATTACAAAACCAGAACTCTAAACCTATTCAATTGCAGCGAGGGGTAAGGCAGGGAGACGTTATCTCTCCAAAGCTATTCACCGCTGCGTTGGAGGATATTTTCAAGCTTCTGGATTGGAAAGGATATGGCATAAATATTAATGGCGAGTATCTTACACACCCATGCTTTGATGATGATGTAGTCCTAATGGCTGAGACCTTGGAAGACCTGAACAATATGCTTGAAGATCTCAGTAGTGCATCTCAAAGAGTGGGTCTTAACCCTTAACCGGAATTGCTAAATTGTTCCACATTACTGGAATCACGGGTCCAAATGGACCCATTAATTAAAATCTTAATTATTTTTTTTACTATTCATGAAATTACCACCTATATGGGTTCTGACTATATTAAAACAAGTTTTAAGTAATATATAAATCAACTTTTATTAACTTAAACCTTAACATTATAAATTTCTTTTTACTTTAATCTTAGGTGCAACATTTGTTAATAAATTTTTTATCTCCTTCTTTGACCACATCAAAAAATAATAAAAACAAAAAAACTTAAAAATATAATAATACTATAGGGCTTTACGTATCTTCCCCTTAATAAAAAAATAAATTCTTTGTGAGATTAAATGAAAATAAAAAAAATGACAACCTATTCTCAAAGCGTAAAATCGTAATCAGTCTCTTACTATTTTATATAAGGCACTGGCTACACAAATTTCTTTTTTGCACATGAATCTTACAAATAAATTTGCAACATCTATCATACTTTTGCGATTGTTTATTGTACCTTCTTCTTCTTCACTTTCTTCTAGGACATGGTCAGATGAAGAGTCACTTGATTGAACAGTGGCTTCATGTTCTGGATTTTCGTTGTCACTTAGATTATCCTCATCACAAGGTTCAAAATCACTCAAAGGGTCTGATTCTGAATCATTTTCATCCATCAATAATTCCTGAATATCGTTCTCCGTAAGATTACGCGCCATTATTCCAAAGAAATACCTAAAACCATTAAGAATATTTATATATACACATTGAAAAAAGAAAACGTGTCTGGAATCGTGGGTCCAATTGGACCCAACGATGGCTTATACTTACACTTCCAGTCAATTAAAAGCGCCACACGTCCGGCACCCGCCGCACCATACGGCGTAATGACATTACATAGGCGCGCAAATGTGTTGATGCGCGCGTTTCGAAATTAAACGATTTTTTTGTCGTCGTCGGGTCAAAATTGACCCACGATTCCGGTTAAGGGTTAAAATGAACATGGATAAGACGAAAATCATGTCAAACGTCCATGTTGTACCCACTCCAGTTAAAATTGGGAATACCACTCTTGAAGTTGTCGACTGTTATGTGTACCTAGGACAGACAGTCCAACTAGGCAAGTCCAACTTCGAGAAAGAGATCTCTCGTCGAATTCAGCTCGGATGGGTAGCATTCGGGAAGCTACAAAAACTCTTCGCGTCCGAATTACCACAGTGTCTCAAGACCAAGGTCTTTAATCAGTGTGTGTTGCCAGTGATGACTTACGGAAGCGAAACGTGGTCATTCACTATGGGTCTCATAAGAAGGCTCAAGGTCACCCAGCGGGCAATGGAGAGAGCAATGCTTGGTATCTCTCTACGTGATCGAATTCACAATCAGGAAATCTGTAGGAGAACTAACGTTACTGACATAGCTCAAAGAATTGCTCAGCTGAAGTGGCAGTGAGCGGGACACATAGCGAGAAGAACTGATGGCCGTTGGGGCAGAAGAGTTCTGGAATGGCGACCACGTACCGTACGGCGCTCAGTGGGTAGGCCCCCCACCAGGTGGACCGACGATCTTATAAAGGTTGCGGGAAGCCGTTGGATGCGGGCTGCACAGGACCGACCGTCGTGAAAATCTATGGGGGAGGCCTACGCTCAGCAGTGATGATGATGATGAATGTGACTTAGCTCTGCAGTATATTATATAAAAAAAAACACGTCGGTTAACTAATGTAGATAACACTAGATTATTATACTTCAGCTATTCTCATAATTTAATGTTCACAACACTGTAATGTGATTTGAAAAAATGATACGGAAATAGAAATATATAGTACATAATAGATTCATTAAAGTTATTAATACAATCTTTATTCTTCTCTGTATTATAGAATTCTCAGTTGTGAATTCAAAACATTTATTTATTTATTTTATTAAAGCCTAATCTACATATTTTATATACTAATAATAAAACAAAGAGTTCACAAATAATTTAGCATTATTTAACTGCATGGTAAAGTCTCTGTGCACTGCATGTGTTTCTTCAGTTAAAATAATTCTTATTTATTTTAAAATATATTAGATAAGAAAGCTTAATTTATAGAAACAGTGGAATTGCTTTTATTTTATGAAGAGTCATGACTTCAACAGTAAGACAGCCAAAGAAAGTGTTTGTCTGAATATTATGTACTAGTGAAATATATTTTCCATTTTTTTTTCAGTGTCTGAGTCACACCTGGTATTTGGCAATTGACATGCAGATGTATATAATATCACCATTAGTATTATTTTGGATTCTCGGTGGTAACAAGAAGTCTGGATGGGCATCGCTGATTGCCGCAGTTATAGCTGTTATTACAGCGTCGACGATCTACAATTTCTTGATGGAGTTCCAATCAGCAACTGTTTCTTTATCGTAAGTAAAGAATGATTCATTGTAGTTGATTATAACCAATTCTCATATTTTTATTTTTGATGTATGGCTCCGCTATAAAAATAAACAATGAAAAAGCGACTACCTAATAAATAGTTTTCCCGAGGAAATTAGACAAGAGATTGTTAAAAATAAGTTTTGTGCAAAATTAAAAAAATACCTCATTATTGATTTTATTTAGATGAAGCTCATAGTCAGGCAGTCAAAGCATTTATATGTACGGTTTTGTTAACATTAATTTTCATTCATTTTATTACTAACATTCATAATAAATAAATTCTAAGCACCGAAAGTATCTCAACTGCATTTATTCAATAACATACTCTCTCTGACAAACACAACTCTTGCCATACCATATTATACTTTAACATTAGGATCAGCACCGCATTTAGAATTTTATTTACATGAAACTGTTCATATTCACATACGCTATTTATAGTCCTATATTAAATGATATAATATATATTTATGTATCTTGTATATATAATTTTTTTATGATTACAGTCGGACAGGTGAAGAATCATTACGATATATGATTGAGTACTACGTTCATACTCTACCTCGTGCGGCACCATTCTTTGTAGGAATGTTATTCGGATATATATTACATTTGTGCAAAGGAAAAACAATCTGGCTTCCTAAGGTAAGAATGTGTGATTCTAAAAAATATGATTGATTATTATTATTAATAAATAAAGAAAAGAAGGGATTTTCTGAGAGACTAGTATAGAATTTACAAGGTAAATTCTAGGTAGAAAGAAAGTTGATCTGAAAAATTGTATCGATTTAAAAGTTAATAGATATACGACCGGCTTCAAAATTTCAGAAAAGTATGAAACTGAACTGATTTATTCTTACGTTTCACAAGGTAAAAGGTCCTAGTTTTATCAAACCGCTTTCAACTGATCAATATAAAACTTAAATAAGAAACTAAAAAGTACACTTTGAGATGTGCTTAACTATAAATTTTCAATTCAGAAACCAGTTTTAATTAAATGCAAACACGCGGTGGAAATTGGCATAAAAAGAAAAAACAAGATAAATGTATGTAAGTAAGCCAAGGGAAAATATTACACATATTTTGTGTTCAAATTAATTGCATATTATCGAGTGTTAATAGCCAAGCGTGCATGAAAAGAAATTAAAAGAATTGTTAATGAAATATTTCATCAATTTTGCATTAACAGTGCTATACTGATAAATATCTGCTTAAATGCTCACTAATAACGAAAGTAACTAATGCTTGAAAAATTCGTCAGTCTCGTGGGGTTTCAGATAGCTTAATGCTAAAAGCAGTCGCCCGGATTGAGAAAGGTTGTGGGTTCGAGTCCCATCTAAGGGTCTCCCAACTAGGTCTGTAAAAAAAAAATTGTAAATATCAAAGAAAATACATATGGCAATAACAGTGCCTTGTGGTATACAGTTCTCCCTGATTACCCAACTAAAGAAGTTAGATTTATAACATTAATAAATTATAGAAATGAAAAGTCTAAAAACCGAGAGGGATTATTTTTAAATATGCTTAAATGGGATCAACAAGCCGTTATATTCACCTTATTTAGAGAAATTTCTGATATTTCGGCGCTAATGCAAGCGCCATGATTACAGAGCAACAGTGCTGAAATATCGGAAACTCAAAAAAAAACAAGGTACATGGTAGCAATCCCGCGAAAAACTGAATGTCGATGAAAAAAAAATGGCCACGAAAGCTTCAAACAAGATATAAGAAGGAATATGTTCTGTGTTTCTGATACTAATAACTATAGACTAATCTTTAAAATTAAATTTTGAAATTCATTCTTTAAATAAGGCTTGTTGATTCTACTAAGCATATTTAAAAAGAAAATATCATCCAATCCTAATATTGCTTCTTTTATATAGATTGTAGTTGCTCTGCTATGGATACTCGCTGGTGCAACTTCTACGACGATATTTATCTCCACCTACTACACTATTCAGCCTGATTGGAACAATCAGACTGTAGACAATATCTTAAATTCCTTCATGAGACCAGCTTGGGCTGCAAGTATTGCATGGCTGACTTTCGCGTGTGCTAAAGGCTACGGAGGTACGAGATAACTGTACTGAGATTATGGTTTTCTTCTTTATATTCTTAAGGATTATATACATTCTGAATTTTGTTTTAATTAATAGTAGCTAATTATTTCGATAAGCGTTTTCACGTACTTTTTTTATAAAAGAAAATGGAAATGGCTGAACCGTAGGAAAAATAGCTCCATACCAAAATATTATAACCTTTAAATAATTAGACAAATAGCAAAATATTATAAACTTTATAGTTAAAATCTAACTGAAATTAGTGTATCCGAAATTTTACTCATTTACTGTAAATATGCTGTCCCTGAAATATTCTAATGCGTATTTCAATTTGTCATGTAGATTGCCCTTGTGATTATTGGATTGACTCTATGAAGCTCGTGTTTCCGATACATTTAACAGCTACATTATTGGTTTTGGCACCACTTGATATAGACAAATTATTGATGTGTTTCTTTCCATAAATAATGTTGCGAACATAGGTTATACAGGTTATTTGATATCATGTATTATAATATTATCCTAAATCGTATTATCTTCATTAGTTTTATTATGAATGTTTTTATAAGTATATAAAAAATGTTATAATAATCATTAACATTTCAGGCCCAATCAACTGGTTCTTATCACTACACATTTTCAAGATCCTAGGTCGTCTCTCTTATGCGATGTATATTCTGCATTATCCACTTATTTACATCATCAATGGCACAACACTTGCACCTATATTTTTCTCAGTTGAATACTCAGTAAGTCAAAATTTGTCTTAATTTTTCATGTCTGTAACATTATTTTATTTATTTACTCTTTATTGCTTAAAATAAAACACAAATGGCGGATTTAATGCCTAGGACATTTTCTACCAGTTAACCTGAGCGAAAGTTGGATTTGCATGTAAGTTGGTAAGAATAAAAATTACAGCTAAATAATCATAAATACAAATCGATAAATCTAGTAAAACTTACGAAATCTAAATATAAAAGTAAATACTAAATAATTTCATAAATACCAATAACATATACATAAATAATTTACAGAATACGTACGATACGATTACTGTCTGAGATAGTGCTCGTGCATCAATTTGTTGTTTATCTCTGAGCATTTCTATGTATGATTAAAAGGAGTTTGTAGAATGAGTTTGAAAGATAAACCTAAATATAAAATAGCTAAGGATACATGGATCGAAAAAAAAATATTAAAAAACATACAGACAATTCGTAGGTTTCTGCGTTGATGGCCACCCGAGTTGTTTCCTGAAACCAGAGCTGTGGTCGTATTTACGAAGGCCATATATGAACCGAATAGCATTATTAAGCAGACGATCCAATTTTTTTAGAAGATATTGGTTGGTGTCAGAAAAGCGGCAGAAAAGTAGACATCGGCATAGTCGAGAATAGTTAAAATAAGAGATTATACCAATCCGTGCCAATTTTAGTGCTGAATGGGAGAAAAAAATTCAGTAAAGACACCTAAGCGGTTTGACCACTTTAAGGCACACTTCATCACCAATCTGCACCTCCTACTAAGAGTACAATCGGTGTGCAGACCCAGATGTTTCACACTAGATTGAAACGGAATAATTTCGCCTTTATATCGTATGGGAGCTATGCAATTCCTATCAATAGCTGACTGCTGTCGTGAACTGTCAATTATAATACTTTAATACTTAGATCTATTTACAGTCACACCGTAACAGTTGAACTACTTAAAGATAGTAATGAGATCCTGATTATGGCTCAAATAGCACATTACCGAGATGTTGTTTTTGTGAGCATATATCTGAAGATCGTCTGTATAGAGATGAAAAAATGAGCGAAGACGAGTAGGGAGAGAATTAATAAATAATGTGAAAATGCCGCCCTGTGGAGCGCCGGCAGATAAGTCATGCCAATCAGAAGTGCTATATTTGATCCAGACAGCCACACCCATTTCCCACCTACCACAATATTATGATTTGAAAGTGTATATTTTTTTCTGTAATGCGAATTTAATACCTGCTAATTATGAACTCATTTGAATTCAGTTCACTGGGCTTAGACTTGAGCAAGGATACTAGAAGGATGCTTTGCGATATATTCTTGGTTTGAATGATCTTATCAAACTGTATTTTTAATACAGACAATTTTAAATTAATTATGAAATTTTAAATAAAACAACATAATTTTAAATTTGTTTCTTCAACTCAATTCGGAGCGTTCGTTAAAAATAATCCACTTCTTTATTTTTATTTATAAATATCATAAGTAAATACTCTAGATAACAGAGATGTTGCATTTTTTTCCAGTTACATCGTGCCATCATTGACATCATGGTAGCGGTGATCGCAGCTTACTTAGTTACAGTACTTATAGATATGCCATGTTCGCGACTCATCGGTATGGCATTAGGAGGTAATTTTCAAAATAATGTTTAATTCTCTTTAGCATTAAATATTGCTTAGTTAAAATAACAGTATCTACAAATTGTCCTATAAACAGTTTTTCACAATTGCTACAGCAATTTTGCCACTAATGTTTAAGTATTAGTTTGAAATTTTTTGCAAAGTTTAGAGAAAGGAAAGAATGTCATTTAGTTGTTGGAGGTAACTTGGTAATTTATTCTTGGCAAGAAAATTTATTATTTCATGATTTCAACCAAGTGCCTTTACTTAGAAATATAATGTATCTAGTTTATTTTTAAGTTTGTTTGGATTTGATTTGATAATTGTGACTTTCTTTCAGAATCCTGATTTTTCCGCGCAATTCTTGTAGTGTTTTATAATAGTTATGTTATTAAATTTCCATGAGACATCATATTATATTATAAGGCTCAGAAAAACAAAACTTTTTAAATGACGTGTTTTACTTGTATATTAAATAATTGATTTGTTTGCAGGAAAAAAAGACCGAAGAAAAAATGATGCAAAGAAAAATGACGAACTGATAAAGGATAAAGATATAACACCACCTACAGCAGCGACTTCGAACAAACTTCAACTATAGTAAAGTATTGTTAAGCTCATTTTGAAATGTAAAGACATTTTTTAAGTATTAGTGTTAAGATTAATTTTAAGTAATATTTCATTCTACAAAGTAAATAAAGCTATAGATAAATAATATACCAACACAACATATGCATTAATTGTAAATAAATTGAAGATAAAAAGTTTAGTGTCGTGTTTTTGTATAATACCTACGATCAACATCTGTTAATCTATTGACGATCAACAATTCGATCAACAACTGAGACTTGTCTCTTGACTTGAGGTCTTCCCATAACCTTTCCTTAGTGATCCCTCACCATACAACTGATTTCATTGCCAAGTCGTTTTATATCAGAGCTATTAAACTGTGGAGCTCACTGCCGGTAAATATCAGATGTACACCATCACGGGAGTCCTTTGTCAAACATGTCAAGAAACATTTCCTTGAGCTGGATGGTGTGAAAAGAATAAAAAAATGATTATATTTCTTAGTAGCTGGTAAAGTAAATTTTAATGGACTGTATATTTAAATTTAATTTTTGATGTGCCAATAATACAAAGGAAAACTAACTGATCTATTATGACGGCTGTTAGGTAAGAATAAGCTGCCTTTAGGATATTAAAAAAATAGAAAGACAACTGGATGGAAATATGCACTCACTCTGGTTGTTGTTTGATACTGCAAACTCATCCACCAGTTCAATGGCGGTCGAAGTCCTAAAAGCACGTGCTCAGCCAATTGTCTTCAATACTGTTAATCTTCACTAAATAGCACACTCTTGTAACAACACATTCTTAATAACTTAGGCTTCATAAGAACATAACACTCACGACGAATAAAGTATTCAAAAAAACTTGACACAGCGTCAGCGATGCGCTCCGAGAGAGTTCAATTATTAGACTAGACGTGCATATTATGATAAGGGAGTAGGTAGAAAGCGTAAAACAGCTGTCTTAAATTTATAAAATTATTAAAGCACACCTTCATAGCAACAATAGCCAACACTGGATTCATCTTCCTAAAATAGTAAAATAGTATATGTATTTACTTACTGAATTGGTATAGTTCCTCTTGCCCAAGGGTAGCCTGGTAGAAGTTGCTACTTTAGCAATAAGACCGCCTTTTGCATCTATATTACTTGTAATATGTGTTCATGTAAATGTTTATTGTGTGCAATAAAGTATACATTAATTCATTCATATTGTTGTAGAGCGGCAGGTGCTGCCATCTAATAACAACTAATCGGTAGCCCGTCGCGTGGATGCGTGGATGTGTGCGAAGCGCTAATATTTTAACTATAGGTCTCTAGATGCATGGTAGTCTATTCAACGGGTAGCGGCTATTCATTTTAAAAAAGCCGCAAATACGCCTCGGAAAGATAGGTCAATCTAGAATGTTCTAATTCGACGCGGTAAACTACTCATCCCGACAGCGCAGGCGCAGTGTAACCTGGCACCCATAAAAATTCACTACAAAATAAAAGACGTAGATACACCGATAAAAAGGTGTAATTTTTTCATAGACAAAACAAAATCCTTAGGTACTGCTGGTCTGAACATTAATGCTTTTGAATATCGCGGACGTGAATTCGTATTCAAAAAAAAAAGAGCATTTTTAAGTTTCAATGAATTTGATCAAACATAATCTGTTTACCATGACTGGCCCCTGGATATTTAGTGATCAGGTATTTCAATAGGCCGAGAGCGATGGCGAAGAGTTGCGTGAATTATCCAGATAGAGTAGTGACAGAAACAGTGAAATTGGAGTGCTGTATTTTCTATTGAGCTTTTTGTAATTCTGAGGCAACCTGTCTGAATATCAAACGAATAGGTATATAATTTATCGTTTTTCCCAGCTAGTAACAACTTACACTGCTAATTATGCCGAGTAATATTCTCCTGTTATAAATAATTTCGAAAAGGTGACACTTAATCACCTTCTCAAAATTGTGGTTCTCTGTGTGTTCGATCATGTGAAACTCATGATGGTTTCAATGTCCCCGGATTCCTGGTGGGGACAAAGTAGAAAATTAACATTTTTATAT